TTACTGTTTTAATTTACCAGTTTAAACTGGTGCCATATGGTGATACATATATTCTATATAAAAGTAACCAACTGCTTATGAAGCTTATTAATTAAAAACTTTCTATAACCTTTCTATAGGTTTATAGGTTTATATAGGTTTATATAGGTTTGTATAGGTTTATATAGGTTTTATATAGTTTTATAGGTTTATATAGGTTTATATAAACCTATAGGTTTACAGGTTTATATAACCTTTTGTAGGTTTAACCTTTTTATCAATATAAAAATATAATAAATTTTTACATATTATTAAAATACAATAATCACTTTTGATATATTATCAATGATAGGTTTTTTATATATTATTACAAGTTTTTTAATAGTTAGCAACATGTAATAATTAGCAACATATAGTATATCAACTGCACGTAATCTAAGCAARTAGATTAGTATATAAATACATGAAATTACTAAGAGRCATAAATCAGAAGAGTTCTAAAAAAAATATACAAATAAATGCTATGACAAAAAACAGTAACRAGCATTAATRAGAACTTAACAAAAGCACAAGAYAATCAGCAAAATAATTAMAAATTACRACTTAAAAAACTAGAAAAAACCCATGAATGTCACAACTGYRCGTGYTTTAAAGACAAAAGTTAAAAGTTTACTATAATAAAGAAGATAGTATTTCATTAGAGGGAGAATCCCACGATCACTGAATTAAAAATAACTTATAAAACTATAATCTTGTGTATTTTCATAGCCATGTATAATAGTAAGTATATAGTAGGTGTATGGGGGGCAGTGACAATAATAATATAATTAATATAATATTATAGTATATATTATTAATATATACTATATAAATATGTACTAATTTAAAGCAAAAGCAAGTAAGTTAAAAAGAAAAATTTTCTTCACCTCCAGCACTGCAATAAACAAATATCTGCTCTATAGAGTTTTATTTCTAAGCCYTTTTTCAAGCTTCAGGGCCTTGTGCTGGCAGAGGAGTTGGGAGCTCRGTGTTTCCCTCTTCTTTTACCCCAAAATCTTTCCAATAAAATTTCCCCAACTTTGTCCCAAACAGGCCCTGCTGAGCTGCTCCAGGCCTGGCTCGCTCGCTTCAACCTGGASGAGAAGAAAGGGGAGATTGCAGAGCTGCTGGCAACCAGCCCTTCCATCAGGGCTCTCTACACCAAAATGGTGAGACCTGAATGCTGCAGGGAAATCTTGAGCTGGTGTTGATATAAAAAAAAAATGTGGTTTTATGGTAAACTGGGGTGAAATTGTTGCAATGAAAGGTTTTGGAGAGAGGAGAGAGAGGAGAGAGGGGCTCCTTTTAGGGGCTCTCTGCACCAAAATGATGAGGCCCTGCCCATTAATTTCCCTGAACGCTGTAGGGAAACCCTGAGCTGGTGTTGATATAAAAAAAAAATGTGTTTTTATGGTAAACGGGGATGAAATGGTTGAAATGAAAGGTTTTGGAGAGAGGAGAGAGAGGTTCCTTTTGAGAGGCTTTCTACACCAAAATGGTGAGACCTGAATGCTGCAGGGAAACCATGAGCTGGTGTTGATATAAAAACAAAAAAAAAGTGGTTTTATGGTAAACTGGGGTGAAATGGTTGCAAATTTGAAAAAAAAGGAGGCTCCTTTGAGGGGCTCTCTGCACCAAAATGGTGAGACCCTGCCTGGGCAATTCCTAAATGCTGCAGGGGAAACCCTGAGCTGGTATTGATACAAAAATAATTGTGGTTTTAAGGTAAACTGGGGTGAAATGATTGCAGTTTGGAGAGAGGAGAGAGGCTCCTTTGAGGGTCTCATCCCTTTCCTGCTCCCTTTTCCAGGTCCCCGTGGCTGTTTCCCACTCGGAGTTCTGGCAGCGCTATTTCTACAAAGTGCATCGCCTGGAGCAGGTGGGTCTGGGGGCTCCCAGGGGTGTTTTTTTGGGAAATCTTGGCTTCCTTCTTGTGTCAGTGATGCCAAAATTCCAGGGGAATTAAAGGATGGGGATGTGAGCGGCTGCTGATGTGGAATTCCCTGCAGGATGAAGCCCGGAGAGAGGCTCTGAAGCAGCGAGCAGAGCAGAGCATGCACCAGGAGGAGCCGGGCTGGGAGGAGGATGAAGGTGGGTCAGGTTTGGAGCTCC